TTCATCACTGTGTCTGTCACGAGACTCTGTTCTCCTTTCGGGCTCTGTCTTTACATTTATTTTGAAAGATGAAGCTCGTGATTATGGTAAGGGGCGTTACATTTCCGACGAGTGCTTGCGGTGTTCGGCCAATCACAATGCACTGGGTCAGCTGGCCAATCAGAGCAGACTGCGCTTGTCGGAAGGAGGGACTTTGTAGAAAACGAAGCGTTTGAGAGAGGCGGGGCATAGAGGACCTACAATAGTGTACAGTATTTGAAAAATAATGTGTTTTTTGAACATTAAAGTATGTCAACATATTCTTTTACACCAAATACACAAAATAATGATCTTTTAAAAAGCATCATATGACCCCTTTAATGGAGGGCTGCTTAAATTAGGCTGGTTTTGTTGAGATGTTTTCATAGTGGTTTCATTTCACAGCAGTAGCCTACCAAACATTGTCGAAGCTTAAAAAATACTTACAATGAAGGCAAGTCGTAGATACGTGGATGCCGCTCGATTTGCGTCATACTGTGGTGACTGTGATCGAGCACAATGAAGATTTGATGACATGGGTCCAATTTAAATAATTAAAAAAAATAAAATCTCGCCAAAAGGGCGATTGAGGTTTATCTGTGCACCTGCCTGGTAAAAACAATATTACAACATCACAATTTAAAATAACTGTTTTCTATTCCAATATATTTTTTAATGTAATTTATTCCTGTGATGGCAAAGCTGAATTTCCATCAGCCATTGCTCCAGTCTTCAATGTAACATGATCCTTCAGAAATCATTCTAATATGCTGATTTGCTGCGCAAGAAAATTATCAACGTTGAAAACCGTTAATATTTTTGTGGAAACCCGGATACATTTTTTTTTCTTCAGGATTCTTAGAAAAAATAGAAAGTTCAAAAGAACATTGGACAGTGTTACTGCTCATGTGCAAATACTGTGTGCGTGAATAATCAGACTGAAACCAGTAAACTGGACAGTTTTATTTTGACAACAAGGGTAAAACCAAATGTTAAAATGAAATCTGATCTAAAATGCTACTGTTTAGCCAATTTGGTGGTGGGGGGGCATAATTATGAAGGGCAGAGGGAACATAATTAAACACTGAACTTAAAATCCCCCTCCATAGAAAAAAAAGTTCACAGGTGAAGGGGGTGGGAGAGGGGCAAAATACAAAAGTTAAAAAAGGCTTCACCATCAAATGATCAAGCTTAGCTGTAATGTACATACATTATCAGGGTTATGTATACAAATAAAAACTCCCATGTTTGAATCATGATGCCTGCTTTGCTTCAAGTATATTCACCCTTCTGTTATGTTCTCATCACTTCTCTATCATATCCTCTTAGCCAGTTAGCAATGAAATAAAAACAACAACAAAAAATCCTTCAAAATCAAAATGCAGAAAAACCACATTTCATATCCTACCAATACATATATACTGTATAAATACATACATAAATATACTTTACATACAACAGCCAAAACTTTGAATAAGGGAGATGAGAACGTGGGAGGAGGATGAGGATGATGGTAGTGTGTACGGGCGTCCCTCTGATCTGATCGGCGTGTCATTGGGTACGGGACGGCACCTGCGCTGTGGACTGCGCTCAGTTGCCCCAGTAAGGGGAGCTGCCATAGTTGGACTTGTTGACCTGGGTCTTCTGCTGCATGGTGCTGGACTGGCTTCTCTGGCTTAGCCCACCCTATGTGAACGAAACACACCAGACAGCTGAGAAGGCTGAAATCTTGCCATTTTGGCAACTTTTGTGTTTGCATTCATATCAATAGCATTATAATACTTGGAGACAGTGTAGTTGTGTTCAGTGTGTCTGAAATGACATTAAAAGTAACAAATATAAAAAATTTATTTACAGTTTGTTGCTTTTTGGTTCACACACATTTCAATAATATCTCAGCCATGGTATAAAGGAATTGTTTGAGATGCTTTATTTCATTTCAACATTTAGATTCTGTGTGAAAAGGCATTAAAAATAGACAGGGACTGACCTGTCCGTCCTGGGTGAGGTGATGATGGAGCAGCTGTGAATGGGGCTGCTGGTGGGCCGGCAGAATGTGAAGGAATGGAGCAGGAGCATAACCAGGGCCAGCACCAGGGGTTAAAGGTCCCGTGCCGCCCAGAGCCGAGGGGAGGTTGAAAGGAGGAGGTGTGCCAGCATGGAAACCCTGCTTATCGAACGGCTGTAGGAGAAAAAAAAAAAAAAGCATTAAATACATCAATAAAATTAACATTAAAATTATTAAATGTGTAAAAAGCAACAATAGTAATAGCTCTAAAAAGAAATTGGAAGATGGAGATGCAAAAATAAAAAATAACTAATATTCTACATTTAAATATGATATATTATGCAATACATTAATGTAAAATAATAAATGTTTAAAACTTAATTAAATAGATAAACATAAGTACCTGCGTTTTATTGTAAACAGTTCCACTGATGTCTGGCACCCCAGAATTGCTAGATGTCACAGAGACACCTGGGGCACAGTGATGTATCATTTATTTTTATTTAGTAGACAGGATACATTTATACATAAGAATACAAAACCAACATGTGAAGTGCAAGTATGTTCGTACCTTTCCCTGGGCCGGAGGCAGCAGATTTGGCCTGTGTTTGAGAAGAGTTACTGTAACCTTTGCTGTACTCAGTCCCTGCTGGGCCTTGCGTCAGGTCATCGTACCCTTAAAATACACAAAAAAACTATACTTTAATACTCAACAGCACAAAGCATGCATGAGAATTTGTGTATATATTTAATCTGCACAAACCTGAGCTAAAGGCATGTTGGCCGTAGCCGCTGGGCTGCTGGAATGGCGAAAAAAAAAAGCATTAAATACATCAATAAAATTAACATTAAAATTATTAAATGTGTAAAAAGCAACAATAGTAATAGCTCTAAAAAGAAATTGGAAGATGGAGATGCAAAAATAAAAAATAACTAATATTCTACATTTAAATATGATATATTATGCAATACATTAATGTAAAATAATAAATGTTTAAAACTTAATTAAATAGATAAACATAAGTACCTGCGTTTTATTGTAAACAGTTCCACTGATGTCTGGCACCCCAGAATTGCTAGATGTCACAGAGACACCTGGGACACAAAGTAATGGACCATTTATTTTAATTTAGTAGACAGAACACATTTATACATAAGAATAAAAAAACAAAATGTGAAGTGCAAGTATATTTATACCTTTCCCTGGGCCGGAGGCAGCAGATTTGGCCTGTGTTTGAGAAGAGTTACTGTAACCTTTGCTGTACTCAGTCCCTGCTGGGCCTTGCGTCAGGTCATCGTACCCTTAAAATACACAAAAAAACTATACTTTAATACTCAACAGCACAAAGCATGCATGAGAATTTGTGTATATATTTAATCTGCACAAACCTGAGCTAAAGGCATGTTGGCCGTAGCCGCTGGGCTGCTGGAATGGCGTTGTTGGGTTGCTCAGTCCCATGCCGTGCTGCTTGGCCGAAGCAGGGGGCACGAACATGGTGGGGCCGTACTGGAACGCGCTGTGCATGCCAGGCACACCGGGGTAGTAGGGAAGGCCTGTGTAGCTGTATCCAGGGGGCAGGGCTGGGTTTAGGAAGGGTTGTTGTGTGTTGTGATGGCCCTGCGGCTGGTGCTGGTTCTGTCCTTGGCTCTGAGCCTGCACCGTCTGTTGGGCATGAGCAGCAGACAGGCTGGTAGAGGGCGCTGGTGAGGTGGATTCACCTCTGCCGAACTTTGTGACATCACCTAAATGGAGAAAAATACACTAATTTTAATTTCTCCTTTTGTCTATACTGATGTCATGTTCATCATTATGAATCAAACGTTGCAGACCATTAAAAAGCAAATGTACAGTCATGGCCAAAACTATTGGCAGTGACATAAATTTTGTGTTTTGCAAAGTTTGCTGCTTAAGCTGTTGTGGTGTTCATTCACATTGTTTCTAGATTATTGTGTCGAGTGATCAGATGCATTTTAAATAATTGCTAAAGAGCTTCATTGGCCAAAAAAATGAACTTTTCACAAAAAAAACAAATTTCACTGTTTTTTGATCCTGACACAAAATGACCAGCTAACGTTAATTGACTAATCATATCAGCAGCACATGTGAAAGTGTGAATGAGTACTAGTCAGGTGAAATCTCTATCATAATAATTAGATTGTAAGAGCAGGCTGACTGCTATAAAAGGAGGGAAGAAGCGCTTCCAATCATTGTGTTCTTGTTAGCAATGGTTACCTCCAAAGAAACACGTGCAGCCATCATCGCTTTGCATCAAAATGGTCTCACGTGCAAGGAAATTGCTACAAAGAATATTGCACCTGAAAGAAGCATTTACCGGATCATCAAGAACTTCAAGGAGAGAGGTTCGACTGCAGTGAAGAAGTCTTCAGGACATCCCAGAGTGTCCAGCAAGCACCAGGACCGTCTCCTCCT